AAAATGTCTACTCTGTGTTCCATTATGTAAGAAAGAAGGTCATGCGAGAGGTGTGTTTTCGGTAAACTTAGAAAAAAGGAAAACTGAGGTTTTGCCTTTAACAACCAGTCAGAGGGCAACTTCCATTTACTTAGTGAAGTATGGAAAATAAAAGGAAAATTATAGTTTTTATAGGCTATCGGAGCAACGTTGCATAAATCAAAGGACTCAGAAGACTAGAGACTGATATCCACATTAGCACCATCCACATAAATGTGTAGGCCTGTTCAACCGTATTCGAAGATTCCTATTGTTACAATGTAATTCACTGTCATAGAATGAGGAGTTGTAAATGCAAAATGCTTTCATGAAGAGATTTGTTTTCATTGGTTTCTGTATTAAAAATCTGAATCAAAAAATAAAATCCCTTTGGTTCAATAAAAAAAGTGCAGAGCACTAATATTCTTTTAAGTTGGCCAGTATTCAACACCTATTATGTGATCTCCATAGTGCTGCCTTTGAAGAATAGAGAATTATTTCTGTACGTCTCTCATCTCTAGATCAGTAGAACTTTAACCTGTCCGATCACCCTGGTTTCCCAAGGTCCATGTGTTTTCATGTAAAATGAACATGGATATTGTCCTTTGATTGTCCTGAAGCCATACCATTTATAATGTACGGCAGCAACCAACAATTTGTGAATTGCTACATAATGACATTGCAAAAACAGGTCCACAATGATTGCTATATGATTGATTTTGTTCTTTATATGATCAAGAGACCCTTTCTTACGGTCATCAAAAGCAACGCTATGGTTGCATTTGATGATTGCAAAATATATTGAACATGCAAGTAATCATTGTTGACCAGTTGTGTGATATGTTTATGTTGCTGTAAGACCAGCAAGGTGTGGGAGCTGTGGCACAGTTGGATAAGTGGATATGTAAGCCGGTCTCCCTTGAGACAGCAGGAATGCAGATATTTTGTGAATTGCTGTTAAATTGGTTTTCCTATTGTGACTAGAAAATGTCACAATGCATTTACTAATTTACATGCCCTTTGTACGTAAATAATGTTCTAGCATGTTTGTATCTGGCAAAATACTAGACCACACTTGGTATATTTGCTCATTTTTATAGTAAACCATTTAAATTACCAGTGAGTGTATAGGTTATGATAGTTAATTACAGAAAGTTTTTTTTTTTTAAAAGCAATAATATAATGTAGGTAACCACTGTGTTTTAGCCAGGAACAATTCGAGGTAGAGAAGGCAAAACATTGGTAAAGTGTTAACTTTAAGTGTGTAACTATAATTTTTTATATTTTAGTCACTAAAAGTTATCACTTTGACAACTTTTTTGCATTCTTTACATCTGTATTTTGTATTTGGAAAAAAAACACTGAATTGAGCGTACAAACAAACATTTTTATTGAATTCCTAGCATATTAAAGGTGTTCTTATTTTTACTACTTGTTCCTTTTTTTTTTAAGTAGGTCAGACAAACTTTTTATGTATTAAAATTAATTTACCAGATATTAGCTTTTTTTTGATCCAATAAGATACTGCTGAAGAGTAAATGACTTGTAAGGAACTGGTTACATTTCACTGTCATGGTATGTTGAAGCAGTTGAAGTAATTCCTATATATCTTTATCACATAATCCTTCAGTGGGTCTCGCTGGCAGTGAGGTCTTAAGGAACCGTGAATAGCACATTGTGTGGACGTCACATTTCTGTGTCTGCATCTTCTACTCTTTCAGATTAAACGTTTAATTTACTGCCGAGTACATTTAATTTATTTAATTGCTGTTTTCAATCCACTGAGATCAGTTCGACCATAGCCACTTGGCAGAGCTTAACCCTCCCCTCCCGCACAATGTTTTTAATTTGAAATCTCTTACGTTCCAAACTTCTGTCAGTCGCCAGCTAAGAATCAGCATTTTAATGCCATGTTAATATGAGGTAAAAATAACCTTGAAACACCTTAAAGTAAGGCACGCATTTTTGTTTTCCTTATTTTTTTGTTCCATATTGGTTTTGGTTAGGTGGGCTTGGCAGTTATACAGTAAAAAAAAAAGTAATAAAAGAATAAGAGTTATTAAAACTTTGTTGACTGTTCTTTGACTTTGGTCTGTTGAAATAATATTATTACAGCACATCATTCAGCATCTGCGTTACTTCTGCAAAGTAATTACAGTAAAGCACATATATTGAACTATCTCTTCTGTACACAGAAACCTTTTACAGTGCATGTGTGGCAACCGCATCATTTTAACAAAAAATACTTTTTACTCCATGGCAGCCAAACAAACCAGTAACATTCTTGTGTATATAAACTATATACCCATACAGGAGACCCTAGCATGATTAGATTTTGCATGTGACATGCAAATCTACGACATCTACAGAACACCTCAGGTAAACATTGCACAGAGACATATACATTTAATAAGCAATTACTGTTCTGTGTCAAATGCCAATATATTCAGTGGCATACCTCTGTGGATCCCAGTGCGGACAGTATGGCCATTTGTTGATTTGGCAGAATCCACAGTCAGCTTAACTCTTTAATAGGATACAGAAGGTAATTTCAATGCAATTTTACTTCAATAAGTACAGTATAATGGATTTTTTTCCAGTCTTTTGAATTTAAAAAGACAGTGACTTTCCTAAGCCCTATCTCTGCTTGGAAAGTGAAACTAAAACTGAGCAGCATAAGGGAGCAGGGAGTGTCTGGCTAGGTAGGGACTGAACTAACTATAGACAAAACAGGAGGGGGGAAGTGAGGAACATGCCAAGGGCCCAAAAACAGGCTGCTGTGCTAGGACACTCGTTGTCTGCTATCAGTAGATACCACTATTAATATTTGCAATTACATTGATAAATGTGGATGACTTGTCCTCACTTGAAAAATATAAAGAGAGAGAACAGGCGAAACATAAATACATAAGCCCTTTAAAGGTGAAATAAATCCTAAATAAATAAGTTCTTAAACCAGAGTCTTCAGTGTCCCAAGCTTGAGACATCTGGAAAAGTCTGATGGCATCGGGTCACTTCTCCAAAAGTGGGAAGGCTTGTGAAGTCCCTCAGAGGTGAATACAGGTTTTTCTTTTTAGCTGGGTGAAGGAGTTTTTGGACCAGTCCTGTAGCATGAGTTGTGAGACATGAAAGGGGTGTAGTGTTGAATTATCTTAGCAATTGTTTTACAAGTGCTCACACTATTTGAAATCTGCTTCTTACTGGCTTGAGGAGAGCTGATAATGGCCCAACCTAGGTCAGTTTCTTTGAGTGTAAGGACTGTTACAAAGATCACCTCTGTCTTATGGACTCGGGAGATGTCCCATCCCAATAGAACCATGATTTTGGCATTATCTAATCGTGGTACAGAGACTTGTTCGATGGACATGTTCACACCATGTCCATCGAACTGTGTGTTTCTGCACACCACTGCACATGTATGGTGTAAACAAGGCACATGCAAACAAATGTTTGTGCTTGCTGCATGAAATTAGTTGATGGAGCATCAAATGCTAGAACATGTCATGTCCTCCAGCTCCTTAGTAAACCCTAACAGCATCGAAACACTAGGCCTTTAAGTTGTGTACATACCTCTTAACAACAGGATTGTTGTGTGATACTGTTATGCACACTCAGGACATGGTGCCTGTGATCAGCAATTATTGTACTACAAATTACCTCTCACTTCTAACTCCCAGGGACAAGAGTACTCTATAAACAGAGTAAATTAAGCTAATATTAGTCTTTCATAGGGAAGCGTGCACCTGTATGTCAATGTAAGAATATTTTAGATTGTAAGCTTTCATGGGCAGGGCTCCTGTCTGGAATGTATTGTAACTGTACTGTCTCCCCTTGTTTTGTAAAGTGCCATGCAAACTGTTGGTGCTATACAAATCTTGGATGATGATAATGAAAAATAACACTGTATAGGTTGGTATTTTTGGTACACACAGTGTTTCAAACACCAGTGGTAGAAATGTTTGGTTGGCTAGGTTGTGTATTATAATTTGTTAGATACTGCTATTGTGTTCTAATGTAAGTGCACTAATATGCCTAATGCTAGCCATACATGGCCTGCTGAATCAGCTGAAAATTGAGCCGTGGGTGTAAGATTCTCATCTGTTTGGGCTGTATGGCTGTGTAAGTATTAAGACACCTGCGGGCGTTGCTGCTGTCTGAATACAACAGCCGACACTGGAGATTTCTTCATCCAATCTGTAAAGCATTTATAGGGTAATCAAGGGTTCTCTCTCATTCAGCCCCATGGGCTGTCAAGAGAAAATCTATATATGTACGGCTAGCTTCATCAGTTGCCTTTTTTTCCTAGGACTGTATGGATGCTATGGAAAACAGCTCCATGTTTGTTCTAATGTTCCATGTTTTCATGTATCAGCTCTACTGGTAACTAACAAGCTGTCCACTGCTCTAGATCACAGGTCTATATATTGGTTAGGACCTCAAATGTGGCCAAGATTTTATTTTGGGATCTTCCAAGTAATCAAAAATCTTATTTTCTTTTTACAAAGTGCTGTTAAAAACTGGCCTCATTGGGGTTTAACAATGGGCAATAGAACAAATCCCTGTTTGAGTCATCTAATGCACTATGGTGTTTTTTCTGTGTTTGTGGAAGTAATGTAAATATACATTTATTGTTTAAGATTTTAATGTGTAAAATTATTTAGAGAGTCATATCTTCAGAGGGTATATCTACCTACTTTTTCTAAATGGTTAGGTGACATAATTTCAAAGAATAATGCCAAAACAGATTTGTTACTGCTGGGGTGTAGCAGGAACCGGAATCTTAGTACACCTAGAGTGCCTCAGTTATACACCCAGAACTGTTTTTAGAATAAATGATTGATTAGTGCATTTATATGTATAGTGTTCATTGGTGATGGTTTGTGGCAATCATTTTATTCTATATAAAAATTCTGCAATTTAGCAGTTTATTGTAACTTTAAAGCTTGGTAAAGTAACTGGTTAACATCTTTTTCTTGCTCTAGGAGAAAAAACGAATTGCAATTTGCAATGCTGCTCGACAATGGGACATTCAGCAGAACAGAGTAGTACTTGGAATAAATTCAGATCAAGACAGCAGCGTTTGCACAAGTCCTTCACATAAGCCATGCCCGCTGAATGGGTCTTCGACCTATGAATTTACTGAAGAGAAAAGGTAATTTGGAATATTTCTTACAATTTCACTAGATTCATTCTTTTGTATTTCAGCTTTTTGCATTTAAAGGAAACTTGTATGTAAGTATGTATGCAAGTATGATTTAAAACAAAAACTTTCCTTGTTCAGAATTATTTTGAAATAAAACAGATATTTTGTGTGGTTTTTTCTTTTTTTCTTTTAAACTATGTGGTGGGAGGTGGCTCTGTTCATCCGTTTCTCAAGCATTGAGGTCTGATCCATTAGGAGGAAATGGTGGCATATCTCATAAGGTGTACTTAATGTACATGGATGCCATAAAAAATATATAAATAATTGCCAAGAATGCAAAGTACTGACTGCATTCTGTGTATAATTGACTAAGTCAGATGGTCCTGTTTCTGCAAGGGACTAGTGGCTCATTCTGTAGCCTGTGTAATGTGGTCATCACGCGAGTCAGGTTTGTTTCACAGTTATCCTTTAGAAAGAGCTGTTTTTGTAAGGAGCTTATCACCTTCTTGTTGCAAATGTAATATATAATTTTAATACATAATGTAATATTTAGCTGACTGTAAAAAAAATTCCCTTTTAATAATTGTCTGTGAGGAGGTGACCACTGTGACTACAGACCCTAACCGTAAAGGAATCATTTGGGGACTGAAGGGCTTCAAATGTTCCAGGGAAAAAAATAAAATATATTGTGATAGTTTGGGGAATATAGCACAATGATAAGCGCTAAGAGACCACTCCTGAAGCCGACTTTAACATAAAAGGACAGTCTTTATTCAGCATAAATTAAGCATAACAGTTCATTCAGGAGTCTCATCAAACATCGTGCTTGGTCTCACTGACATCTGTCTGTCTCATACACCCCCGTGTGATAGTCCCAGGACTTTACCGTAGTTCTCTGTGAATACAGTCCTAAGCACTGCCCAGCAGCTTTCCTCAGCTCCAAGCCTGTTCGTATTCACCCCTCTTGGGTCACCATCTCTCTCTGTCTCCCCGACAGGTATCTCAGGGTCACCAACCCTCTGGACCTCTCCAGCCTTCCTGGCTGTGTCCCTTGTGCTCACACACGCAGCAGAGTCGGTCTGTCGTCGTGTGCCTCTTGCACACCCACAACTCTCCTCTAAAGCACTGGGCTGGCTTCCTAATAAGGCTGCTCTCAGCCACCTGTTCAGCCCAACCTGGCCACTGGCAACACCTGGCCCCAGGACTGGAGATTCCATCCCACTATAGTCTGGAACACCTGGAAGGAATTGAACAGCCAGTTCCTCCTCTCCAAAGGTATTCACATTGTGGAACCTCTCAGCCCCTCTGGCTGAGAGTCCTGGGCACCAAAGTTGCCATACTACACCATGGCATTGCCATGCACTGCCACAAAATATATATATTTACACACACACACAGGCAATGGCCACTTTATTAGGTACACCTTGCTAGTACAAGGTTGGACGCCCTTTTGGGATGGACATGGTCTGCAACAATACCCAGGTAGGCTGTGGCATTTAAAAGATGACCAATAGGTACTAAGAGGCTGACAGTGTGCCTAGAAAATATCACCCACAACATTACACCACTACCACTAGACTGAACTGTTTATACAAGGCAGGATGGATCCATGCTTTCATGCTATTTATGCCAAATTCTGACCCGATCACCTGAATGTCGCAGCTGAAATCGAGACTCATCAGACCAGGCAAGGTTTTTCCAATCTTCTATTGTACAATTTTGATGAACCCTTGCAAATTGTACCCTCAGTTTCCTGTTCTTAGCTGATAGAAGTGGCACCCGGTTTTGTCTGCTTCAAGGTTCAATGTGTTGTGCATTCAGAGATCCTATTTTGCATACCTTGGTTGTAAGGAGTAGTTATTTGAATTACTGTTGCCTTTCTATCAACTTGAACCAGTCTGGCCATCCTTCTCTGACTTTTGGCATCAACAAGGCATTTTCGCCTAGAGAACTGCCGCTCACTGGATATTTTCTCTTTTTCAGACGATTTTCTGCAAAAATTAGAGATGGTTGTGCATGAAAATCCCAGTAGGTCAGCAGTTTCTAAAATACTCAGACCAGCCCATATAGCACCAACAATCATGCCACGTTCAAAGTCCCTTTTCTTCCCAATTCTGATGTTCCGTTTGAGCTTCAGCAGATCGTCTTGACCATGTCTAAATGTTTTGCATTGCTGCCATGTGATTGGTGTGTATCAATAAAGATATAGATATAATAAATATATATATGTATGTACACTAGAACTTAGTGTCTTCTACTGGTATTCTTTTAATAGCCACTGGGCAACCAACATTAATGGAAAAAGTACTAACACTTAACATGGCATTTTATATGTAAGGTAGATGGGTGTTAGTCATCACTTGTGTTGTGGGTGTTAGTCATCACGTGCACACACGCGCGCGCGCCCACACACGCACGCGCGCGCACACACACACACACACACACACACACACACACACACACACACACACACACATTAACGCTATATTTTAAATATAAATCAGACTGTTATTTAAGGATTTAGTTTGCTGCAGTGTAATTGTTTTAAAATTAGGTTTAAGAGCTGGGGTCCCACAATTACGCTATGCCCCTTAATTAGACCAGTAACAAAAACCATTACATGCTGGATTCTTCCTCATGCTGGAAAACGATTTGAAGAACGAAGGGTCACAGAAATCAAAGATGTGGACACTTAGCATTTGTGTTGAATAGATGAATCAGTCCATTTTCCACTGTTACGCCTCTATTAGCATTTAGAGGGATATATTATGTACAGGGTAATGTCAGACAGTTTAGCACAAATGACATCTGTGTTTCAATATCTTGATCAGTTTTGTCATTATGGGCTGAATTATTAAGTACTAAAACTTCTACGGTTTTAGAGGCCAGCTTACGTTGTCCTTCTGGGCTCGTCAAGACATTAAATAGCCTTTTAGTCTTGTACATCATAAATTATTAATATAAAAACCCATGCAATAAAATGCTTTTATTTCTTGCTTAAAAGCGCATTTGAAATGGTTGCTAGAACTTTGTAAATCACAAAGATTTCTTGAATATTTTAATCAATACCTGAAGTAGAGGTTGCTTTGCACGGTAAGATAGTGCAGGTGTGCCTGTTCTCAGTGAAGCAGTTCCACAAATCTTGAAATAGAATCTTGGGCTAGATTAGAATTTATACTAGATCAAAACATACTTAAAAGGCCGGTATCACTTAACATGTATTAATACTTGATATGAATCTCTGTTTTAATAGAGATATGACATTCGATTTAACATTGAAACATATGTGTTACATTTTGCAACCATTTTGTTTCCAGATCTCTTTTTGACATGTTTTCATTACAAATGTAAAAGAGAAAAAAACCACAAGAATATAGAGTGGTAGAAAAGGAGTAAGTAAGGTTCAGTGGTAAAGTGAACAATGCAGAAAATTATTACTTTAGAAAACAAAAAGGGACTTTCCACTTTAATCCAAATAAAGGGCTTTTATCAGGTTCTTGGATCACAGAGGCCCCATCTGAGCAGTGTGCAGTGGTGTATTATTTTACTGTGATTTTTTTTTTTAACTGTCCCATACATAAATGTTTGTTTTCCGGGAACATGATACTTTCTAGATCAGCTTGTATTGCCAATGGCTGGGCTTAAATTCCTCTTGTATACATTGTCTAAAAGAAGTATTTACTCTCTTGGACGTTTTCCTGTTTAATTGTCCTAGAACATTGGATTTAATTTTTTTGTACATGGATCAAGAGAAAATGACTCTTTAATGTAAAAGTGAAAGCAGATCTGTGCAAAGTAATTTAAATTAATAACAATAAAGGAAAAAAAAACGTAATATAACGGACTCCTCGAGGCTTGACTCTAGGCGAACAGCTAAACACCTAATTACACAGATGAAACGCATGCAGTGTTGTTTTACCTGTCAAAGGAATTGTAGTTTAGCTGATCCAGTCCAGAGATTAACACCGCTCTGCCACACAGCTAAGCCATGTCTGGTGGGACAGGAGACCTTTTTTTTTCTCCTCTGCAGTTAGGTAACCCTAACTGCAGAGAAGGTCTTATCCCTTCCCCAGCCTGTGACTGGACAGTCAAAAGAAAAACATCAGATTGATTAAACTCTTCCACTGTGCTCTCTCCTGTCAGCATGTTTCTTATTAGCGCAGTAGCACCGCAGCACAGCTGACTGACTCCTTATGCTGCTTCTCCTTTTTCCAGGTTGAACTCTGTTGCAAGAGGCAGATACTAAGTCAAATGTGGATACTTACACTGCTTGGATTAAACAAATACATGTAATAGTTTAATAATTATTGCAAAGATGCATTTATTTGTGTCTTCTATATCTGCCTTGTTCAGCTACAACTTTTCACCTCTAGTGTTATTGGGCAGGATTAGTTAAAAAGCAAAATATATTTACCTTTAATTTAGGCAGTCTGCTGAACAACAGGACAGGCACTTGTCTGTATTTTTCAACACATTATATGTTGCGGGCGCTGCATAATTTGTAAATTACTTGTCTGTATTTGCCTATACCGTGATCATTTCTTCAGGTCCTTGGGTGACCGGGATCCCAGTCTGCTCCAACATGCTCGTTTGATACTAACTAGTTATGTTGAGAGCTGACCTGCCCCTTCATGCCTCCTGCCCACTTCTATTGCCCCATCACTGTGATGCACAACCTTACAGGCAAGTAGAAACATGCAGGTTGGCATTGTCCAGCTCTTGACACTATCAGAAAATATTGGCACTTTTATTTTACAGACCACTGGGATTTGGTGCACTGTAAAAGTCATCCCAAGATCTGGGAAAACATCACTAGGTGCCTGCATTGTGGTAAGATGAGAACAAATTGTCAGATGTAAATGGAGTATTAGATGGAGTCATGCGTTGACCTGTGTTTGGACTTAACCTGTGTTTTTGTGTCCAAAAGATTCATGACAAAGGATGTTTGTAGTGTCTCTCAAGTTATTGTTTTGTTATCTACCATGTTGGCTTAAACCCTTGGTTCTCAA